AAAGAACATTCAAAGCACGAAGTGTCGGGGCGCACAGACTGGTCGTAGATTGCGAGCATAACAGCGCGGTTGAGATGATATGAAAGCAAGGGGTAGAGGAACGAACACCTCAATTAGGCATCGCCTCCGCGGGCTGCTGGTCCTTTCGTCCCACTGTTGCGCATCGTTTTGAGACCAGTGGCCGTATTCATCAACGAAACCCGTGGGTTCCGGAACCCACTGGGTTAGTGCTTTTGATGAATATCGATTCTACTCCAGAGAAGAATCGATATTTATCAAAAGCACTAACTCAGTGGGTTCCGGAACCCACGGGTTTCGTTGATGAATACGGCCACAGTGGTCCTCGGAGGCGGTGCCTAATTGAGGTGTTCGTTCCTCCACCCGACAGCAAGACTTGTACAATTGTAATTTGCGCAACCGTCTGAACGTCCGGCACGTGCTTCGAAATCTGCGGACAGTCCATGCGACCGACGACGTAGTATGTTATACATGTGGAATTGTATGTGTTAGCTATAAAGTACTACTACTGACGGATTATATTACAAAGATAGACGTTGCTACCGAATTGTATCCATTATCAATGGATCCATGCTTGAACCAGACTGATCAGCGTCAAAATGAAAACGATCTTTACTCATGCGCCTTGCTGTCATCATATCAGTGCTTGTAATAAGAAATCCTGAAAGTATGCTACTCTTGAAATCATATAAAACGTAACTATGTGTACAACTTTCAAAATCCTCAAAGGTGATACTCACCATTGGCGGCCACCCATTACTTGTGGGTGTCAGTTAAAAACTGCCGCGACGCGGCGTTACAGTAACCCGGACGAGAGGCAGTGGGTCAGAAGAAGTGTCCCAGAGTAAATTTTCAAAAGTCAAGTTATTATAGTGAGCAGATAGTCCAGATAATCTACACTTTTCCTGCTCATGAACATAGTAACTTCCATATTTCCCTTCATTATCTTTCTTTTTCTACAACTTTCATCAAACAATAAAAACTGGAGTGGTATTGTTGAAACCATTACAAAGAGGGAATAGTAGTGGCTACCCGGGTTCTGCGCGACTTGGTTGATGCTAGCCTGTCGCGCGCGGCGACTACTCAATTCACAGTCACAAGTAATGGGATACACCCCTCACCATTACATCATCAACGGCTATCCTTGACGAACTTCAGAATGTATATCCTTGGAGGCCGTGGAATATAGTACCAACTTAAGACAGAACATTACCTTGTTAGTTATAGAAGAAAGAGCAAACTCAATCAGCGAGAGTTTTCCTGCAATCGAACTCGAAATACAACCTACTTTATCCTCTAATCTTACATGTAAAGCTGAACGTCTGTTTGTCTGTATGTATGTATGTCTGTCTGTCTGCGTACGTATGTTTCGAATAGAAAATTTCATTTCTGAACCGATCCGGACCAAACCTGGGGCAATACACTTCGGGGCGGGCGGGGGTCATAGGCTACTTTTCGCGATCGATATCGATATCGCTTTTTGTCGAATTTTTGTGTTCACCTACGGGACTGGGAGTTTGCACAGGGGGGTAATCGAGCATGCTTTGATTACTAACGCACTGGGAATAGGGAATTGGCATGTAGAAGTGGGCGCAGGGAAAGGATGTGCAGGGATAGGGATGGGACTTCTATCATAATGTTTTGACAGGGCCGGGCGGAGCCGGGTGGCCAGCTAGTTTGTAATAATTTAGAAATAAGCATTTTCGACTATAAGAATCGAGCAATCATTCCTAATCATATTATCTGCAAGTGCGTCAGCGGTGAAAGCTTTGAATCCACTCCATACCAATCCCAAAAGTTGAATATCTGGTTTCCGCTGAACTTTCTGCAAAGGTGTTAAATATCATATTGAAATAGCAGTATGTCAGTATTGCGCGCAGCTACACTGCTTTTGCCGTTGGTGGATTGAAAATCCGAATCTACTCGAAACGTTATCTCGACTACTACATAGCTTGTGCGACAATGAAGTTGTGGCGTAGAAGTATGAGCGCCTTTCAGATTAGTGTGGAGTCGGGTTGCAGATTTCCTTGATTATAAGAATAAACTTAACGGGAGAATACGAAAAACAATGCTGCACGTGCAGGTTCAACTTTGGACCCTAAATTCAGGGAAATCCGCAACCCGCTTTCACACAAATTTTAGAGCCGATGACAGCCGATGACAGCTGAGGCAACTTATCAGTGAAACCTTATCGCGGCGACGAAGTTTGAACATACTAAATTTTTGCGACGCACATATACCGTGATCCTGTAAAATTGCGCTACCTTGCAAAATCAGCAGGATATACGTGAATAATGTGCGAATAATATCTGTTGAGCCAACATGTTGCTGCATGCTGCAAACATGTTGTTTCCACGTTGCCGACATGTTAGCCACACGTGGCAGGTCTGAGACGCAGACGAAGGGTAGCAGGGGAGACTGTCGAATGGCGCGCATTGATCGGCTGTTACTGACTAAGAAAGCCATGAAGAGAGTTCAAATCTACCTTGTTCATTCCGGATGTCAACTACGTGGTCCTTCTCTATACTTTCTTATAAACTGTCAAAATTTTCAGACTAAATTTTTGCCTAGGTGGAGCACGATTCCAATTTGGCAATGGAGACCGCCAAACGCGCGCCTTTCGACATACACCCGCGTAGCAGCAAGTGTAGAGGGGACGATAACTACTCAGACATTTTTTTGCGGCCATACACGCGCTCATGGCCGGCTGGGCGAAAACCTATGCCGGGCTGGCCCTGCCATAGTATAGGCCGTCCGCGCTGCGCGCGGAGAGCAACGCTGTTGTGTCCATCGAAGGTAGTTCCTGACTGGAAGAAGCACAAAGAAAACAGGCGGTGAGAGTGCGGGGGGAAAGAGGAGTGATGCGCAATACACAACTTGTGCACTCTTCGCGCCCGGCCCGGACGGCCTATATAGGGGCCTGCAGGATCGCGAGTCGGACGTGCGTACGGCCATTGCGCCGCGCACGTCCGATGTCACTGAGGCAGGTGCCAGACTTATCCGCTTCAGCCGGTTCGTTCGGTTCATAGTTCATAAATCACTACACTGTCCAACAACAAAGGTGGTGAACTGAATGAACCTGTTCAACAGAATAAGTCTGGCACCTACCTGAGTCGCCGGACGCATGGGTTTTTAATCAAACGTCAAAGTGATCATAAAAGCAAGCGAAACAATCACACTGACCCTAGTATTCCGTTTGCCATCTTCCCAACCCCAAAGTTCGGCTTCATGCGCATTTTCATAATCGCCAGTGTTTCACCACCATTTTCAGCGTTTCCGACCAACATACGCATTGGGTTTGCAAACTTGTCGCGACGAACACGCCCAAAATAACAAAACAAGCATGACAAACTGGAATATTTCTAGAAGTGCACAAGTCCGAACGAGGTTGAAACGTTAGAAACTGTGCCATATATACCGTAACTCTTGAGAAAATCGCCCTCACCAGGATAGTGAAAAGCGCCATCAGGCAAGCGCAGTGGATAATAACCGGATATCCTGTCGAACCAGCTTTCAATTTCTTGACAAGCTTATTTATCATTCATTTATTATTTTGTGTTAAAACTACAAATTACATTGTTTGCTTTTTTCTTTATGGAACGCCTCGAGCGTATTTAATGAAAATGAAAATGAAAAATTCATAGGGTCAAACTGAACAAGCTGCGTTAACATATCGTTATTTGCAAATAGGAGTTTCTTCTAAGGCGCCGCCTCTTCCGAAAAAACGCTAAAAAGCGATGAGCAATGCAATGAAAATTTTCAGTGATTTTGACAAATCGGTCGTAACTCAAGCAGCAACACAAACAGGTGAAAAATAAACTTCGGAAAGATAAAAATCAACAAGATATATACTACCTGGAAAAATCCATTCGACAAAAGCAGCTCGCCACCGGTCCCATACTTGCGATATTGCTCCGGGATTGAGGGTAGTGAAGGATGACTGCCGACAGACGTCATAATTGCCTGGAACTTAGGCCTAAGACATACCTCACGCGATTCCAATAGCTGCGCGATTCGGTGCCGGAGTAACTGTTCGTAATTGGTCACCAAAGCGCTTTGTTTGTGCAGAACTTATTCTATTTGCAACAAATAACAGGAGTTAAGCGTCTATGTATTGAAGAACCTCGCACGATTAGTTTGGAGACATCTGGTAAACCGCCAGGTCGCGTGAACGTCGCGATTTGGCCGAATCGCGCGAGGTATGCCTTAGGCCTTAGGTTGCCAGTAATGTGTGCGGCGCATACGCGGAAGCGATGGAACCTGGAAGAAAACAGAAGTTTTCCAAGAACCATTCCTAGCATGAAGTTTGTCATGTAGCAAAACTTTTCTTCAGATGTGAAGTGCGATAATACTCGAAGCACTTGTGTTTATTTTATGCTCGAAGTCCACAATGCCTGTCCTGCGCGTTGGCAAAATTCGCACTGGGGCAAGGAAGAGGGGCCGTTCTCCGCAGCCACGTCGAAATGAGGCGGCGCCTCACCAATCTACGTCATGTTGAGGGAAAATATATGGGAATATCGAGCGTACGTGTTTCAACGCAGAAGTTATAGTCAACAAATTGTTGCGTTACATGAGGACGCAGCGTAAGGTAGGTAGGGGGTTACAGATCATTCTTAAAATTCGTGACAACGAGTTTGACTGTGGTCTTGGCGCACACAGGAGCTTTAAGCACCTACACAGTTAGGCTCACTTCAACTTTCAGCTTGGCCATTTCTAGTGTTTGAATACTATCATATACGAACAGAAAAACCATTCGAGTAGAGATAGAAACCAAGAAAATGAGGTTGCTGGAAGTGCCTGCTTGTCGCGTGCGGTCGCGCCATAGTCACGAATTTTCAAACGCCCTATAGCAACAATCGCGGATACGTGACGGACGATATGTGTTCCTACTCTATAGCTAGAAGCTCAATAAACTAAGTAAAAAAAAGCGACATTGACTGATTGATTTGCAGCTGGTTAGCACTCACCAGTTCTTCCTGTCCTTATGGAACAGGTGGCTCGTGCGGAAAATCTAAAATCAAAGATCCCGATATGCCAACATCGAACGCCTAGCGAACTTACCCGGAACATCAGTGCTCTCAAATTTATCGTCACTGTCATTATCTACAGAAACATCACCGTTCTCGTTTACAACATTGTAAGGAGGGGCTAAGTGATTCGGAACCATGGGAGGAGATTCCTTAAAACAAATCGAGATGAAAGAAAGATAAGATCTGAATCTATTATTTGTCCCTTACTACGCTTACATATGCTAACACCGCTCATAAAGCAAAGCTCCGTTGGATGAAAATGCAAAGGACGGCTACAGCCAAAATGTTCAAGTAAAGTGTCCTGCAATTCACAAGGGCTTCTTCTTTGGGCGAGGGGAAGGGAAGTCCCAATCTTTCTCTGCAGTAGTGAGCAAACACTTGGAACAAAATGAAAGTGATCCTGGAAAAAATCAAAAATAAACCTTAGTTTGAGCGCTATAGTTCAAACGACAAACCTTTGCACCATGCCTGCCTTCTGTTTCCTCAAACTCGTGACAAGCTCGAATATGTCCAAAGAATCCATCTCCTCAGACTCAATAAGTTCCCTTTCATAATTAACTGACTTGAACGTTACAGTACGTCCCACGCCAGCGCTAGAAAGTCAAATGGCAAGGAAGTAAGAGATGATATCTCACCTGCAGTGAACAGAACTGGGTTGTTGAATTCTTGCTGTTGTCATTTTTTCGATCATGTTGATTAGCTGATCTTCTCCGGAGGGGCAACACTGATTAGGCCATTCTCTAGAAACATAGTTTAGGGCACATTACGCAAAACTGAAACAGTGATAAAGCAGAATTGCCTGCAGTCAGTTGCGTGATCAACCTTGATTCGCCTGTTCTCGAATGGGTCATTTTCAGCCGTTTCATAAGGTACTCATCGTCAGTGAAACTGAAGATGTCGTTTTTCAGTAACTGTGCTGCCACTGAGTAGAGACAGGTAATGATTATTTTTATTCAGTGGTCACCAGACTACCCTTTGGTCAAAATAGATGGTTTAACAAGAAAGTGAAGTAAATTCCGGATAATAGTAGTATGGTGCATGTTCTTTGATGTTTTGAATGAATTTGCTCAAACCTAAGAATGGCGCGTGTGTAAGCCTGCGATCTCTTCAAACAAACTGATCAATGATTCATAACTGACGACAGAACCCTAAATGATTGGAAAACTACCGCGCGAAGTTGGCTTCCCATCCTTCAAATAGAACCAGAGGTGCATGGCAGCAGAATAACTTTTGGGAAAACACTTGGTTTCGAAAATCATCAAAGAAAATAGGATCGAAAAAGATCAAATTTCAACACAACAAGTCTGCAATGAATATGCTAGCACGAACCCTGTCGCTTCAAAAGAAAAAAACTCAAAAAATGTAAAACCTATACAAAAATAATCATTTGTACCTTTCCTTCGATTCCAGCGTGATTCCATAAACACCAAACTGAAAGAAATGCTTGGTGCACAAGCGAAAACGGTTTTCGTCACTTGGATGGATATTCAAACACTCGGCAAGCAATTTCCCACTTCAACAGAGCAGACGCACCCTGCGTGTCTGACACTATCTCGTCGCCTAGACAGTCTGCGTCCTCTGCTGCGCTCAGGATTGCATTGCCGCTTCTCTCAACAAAAAGGACAAGCTCGTCGACTCGCGTCTACTCAAAAACACCACTATAACATACGCAGGGGAGGAGCAATCTAGCCGTCTCGTGTTTTCGGAACGGGTTCATATTATAGGAGAGGATGTATGATTTAGCTGCTTCAACATAGATTTACAGTGTGGAAAGTTACCGATTCACATTCCAGTTCCTTAGTACTGCAGAATTGCGACAGGAACGCAACAAATGGGGCCACTGAGATACGTCGTCGAGAATTTTTTCGAAAAATTCTGAAAATTTGTTTAATAAGGTATTCAGCATGCTGACACATTAGTTTGGCTGTACTCGTAAAGCTTTTCGAATGGCTTAGTCTTTTTGACGAGTATCAGAAATTGAACTTTTACATCTAGCATAACTTAGGAGAAAAGCGTATAAAGTTCGAGTTTCACCTTTGACATCATCGACCCTGATTACCCTAGCGTAGGAGTATTCAAATTTTTCAGTCCTTCTTCAGGGGTAAAATATGACCTTCATCGACGCAAAATGTATGACACTCATCAATGTTCCTACCGTAATACTCCAGTAATGAAGAGAAAACGAATTCGTTTCATATTGCAAATCTAAATCAAACCAGCTCTATAAAATGGTCTCCAAAGCCTTTCAAAGCATTCAATGGGAAGAGAGTTATTTAACAATCAAACAGAAGGCACATTTTTGGGACACCTGTATTTTTTCTAGCTCCTCAATGGATCTGTAATTATAAGAGCACTTAATTCAACAAATACTTCTAGATAAAAAATATATCACACCTGGTTGCCTTGTTTCGGTAAATAGAAGAATTTTAGTAACTTATTATCTAATCCTTATACATATTTGATTTTTTGCTCCTCTCTCTTATTCCCTTTCAAACGTTCCGCATATAAAAAACACAGTTTCGAAGAAGCATTTTATACTCCCCTATTGTATACTCGCGGTACTTGCGGGATTTGCGCAATTTGCAGGATTCGCGAGGTTTTTAAGTATTCACAGCAGATTTGACCATAACTTCTTGAGCAGATGAGTCTGGGATCTGCAAGCAGATTTGTGCTCGGTAGGAAATGGTCAGAACCTGGTTCACCACTCCAAACAGCTGTGTATCATCGGACTCGCCTTGAAGCGCTAATTTCAAATATATTTTATTATCTGCCAAAAAAAACTGCCTGGTCGGAGTTATGAGCGTCCAAGTACAAGGACTTGTTCAAATTTCAACGAATGTAGTTCGTTGAAAGGCAGCCTGAGCACGGATTTACAGTGACTAAGCGTATTCTAATTACAAAGAAGAACATTCATCAAAAACTTAAACAATTGTTTTTGAAACGTATTTCGTGGAACATGCGCCACAGAACATTTGACAAATCGCAAATTCAAACGTCCATAACTTTGTTTGGATAGTCGTTTGGCAGATAATAAAAAATATTTGAAGTCAGCATTTTAAAGAGAGTTCGATAATACATAGCATGTTTAGTATGGCTGAGTGTTCGACCATTACCTGCTCAGTTCGCTACAAATTTTAGTTTAACGTTGAAAGGAATGGGCGAGAATTCGAAGCTAATTTTCTTGTCCATGAAATGATTCTATGAGCTGTCGCTTGAGCACTGGCGTATTGAAAAAACTCAATTTGTAAAATTCATTATTGGGCGATGCGAAGAGGTTGTTTGATCTCATGATGTATGCATCCAATTCATGTGGTTTTGATCGTAAATTTATGAAGATAGATGGATAAACTACCAGGTTCAATCCATGAGCCAAGCAGCATAGTCGGAAAACTTGATTTGAGATTCTGAGCCTTTGCTCGTCGAATAAAGGCGGAATTGCGAAAACGTAATCAAGAGGATTTGACGGTAGTCATTTATTACTTTGGACTTTATCGAATCTGCTTCATGTTTTAAAAAATTTGATTTCCACAGACGTGCTTCATATTTCTAAAGATCGTCTAGGCAACTGCGTATCCGAATTTCTATTTGTAAACTGCTGAGAAGGCTCTTTGAAACTGTTGTAGTCCTTGTCTGTTGAGTCGAACGGACACAGTCGAATACTCAGTAGTTTATTAGCTGATCAAAATAGCGAGTGAATCAAATCGCTACGGTACCTATATATCAGTGGCGTACCGAGGGGGGGGGGGCGCCCTCCCCCCCCCCCCGAGAATGGGTCGCGAAATTTTTGAAAGTTACTTAGATGTGTTATAAAAATGTGCAAAGGACTTGTTTACACTTGTAAATAATTAAAATAATTTTTAAAAATTTCTAAAAATTCAAATTAGCCTTGTAAAAAATTTTTTCGGGGGCGTGGCGACAGCCACGCCCCCTTTTTCTGAAATTTTGGGGTCAAGGGCCCGGAAAAATTTTGGGGAACATCCCAAAAAATTTTTCGGAGTGCGTGGCTAACGCCACGCACCTTTATTGAAAAAAATTTTTGTCGCGCGCCCCCCCCCCCCCCCCCCGAGCCGAAATCCTGGGTACGCCACTGATATATATTATATATTATATACTAGCGACCCTACGGGTCGCTAGCAAGTGGGTTGAGGCCAATACATTAGTGAGTCAAGGCTACACTTATTTGGCACACTAACGATAGCGACATTTGAACAAAAACTATTTGCTTCATGTTGCAGCTCACGGTACAATGACAAATCAAACTATTCACAATTTGCTGCAGCGTTTTTGAGCACAAATACTCTGACCAAAGCTAATTTCGATTACCCATGGGTTATTCGGACAGTTCTGCCAATAATTTCCATTCAAGGCTTCCTCAGCAACGTGATCAAAATTCCCCTAAAGTTTCAGCAAGGGTACGAACTTTTCACTTCTCTAAAAGCCCGTGTATTCGATTCAAATTCCTTTCGCACTTTAGGTTTTATCAGAGGTAAAGCGGTAACATTGATTATCAAAGTTTTCTCACAAGATAGTCTTTTACATCCTCAAAATTTTTGCTACTGCTAAAAATTTACTTTTTATCTTTAGGCTTTCAAGTCACTTGGAAGCCACTTGAGGTGGCTTGGGAAAGAGAAAGTCATAGATTTTCTCTTACTCACATGTTTTTTACCTTCTTTACATAAATTTTATCTATATCATAAACCCTAGAAATTGGTTCCTCAACTGCCGCAAACCTTCTCCCCGCTTAGTTACAACCCCTCGATTTGAATGACGGCGGCGACATTACTCCAGGCGCGTAGCGCTGTGCGCTAAATAAATACATTATGATGCCAATCCGGAGAACACGAAAATATCGCGTTTGTTAGATTCTTCTTTGGCGTTTTGTTCTGTTTCTTTTGTAATATTTTATGGCTGTCGTATTTTCATAGTGAAGTCAAGGGGGATTTCGTTTTTTGCAATTTCGGGAAGCCACCTTGTGCCGAGCCCTGGCGAAAAAAAAGGCTTGACTTTGCCTTAAGGTAACCAAGATAGGGTGTATCATAGAGCTAGGCCACTCATGTGTATCAAACACTGAAAAGCCTAATTTTTATCGAAAGCAAAATGAAAGTTTTCTATAATGGTATCTTGTCTCATAAATCATTGAACTGCTTTTCAGAAAGAATAAAGTTTACACTGCAATCCTGGGAGCAGAAGTGAGATTCTTTCAGAATATTTGACGGTTTTCACACGAAAAATGTCTTTTATAAAACAACCTACAGTAAGGTCAAGCCGCCAGCAAAACCGAAATTGCACTCCATTCCTGGGAGCAAAAGCATATTTTCCAAAGTGGTCACAAAAAATTTGCAAAAACTAAGTGTGAAAGGTACATCCTGTAAAAGTGTCCTGCCGTAAATATTATCAACTTGTCTTTTTCCAGCGAGACTGAGCTTTGCACACTGCCAAAGCAAGATCTTCCAGAGCATATATCGAGCGCACAAATTTTCTGCAAGACAAATTCGCCTTGAAAATCTTTGGGTTGTCTTCAAATACACAAACCCATTGTAAGCAGCTCTTAACGAATTTCACAAAAATGTTCCGAAAGAGCACGATTTCTTTGGGGATAGCTCGCAGATAAGTATAAGTCAGCCCTGTGCTTTTCTAACGGCGAAGCGAGATTTCTTTGACAATGTATTAATCAAGTTCTGACGAAGAAGT